AAACCAGTTACAATTAAATTTGTTATTTTTGCTAATTTGCATTGTCATCATTATGTGGATGAGAGACAAATCTTTCTCTTTCTTCCTCCGCAGATGATGCTGTGCACATTCATTAGCACTGCCTAAACTCAGTAATGGACTAGAAGAGGGCCAACAAACTGAAACTGAATCCAGATAAGACTGAGATCCTAATGTTGGACGGATCATCAAACCAGTTAGAAGGAAATTTATTCAGTCTGGGTGGAGTTAACAGTTCCCCTGAAAGGCCTCTTTATGGAGGTACAAAATATCTGCTGTGGCCAAGAGTGCCTTTTATCACCTCCAGCCAATTGTCCAGCTGTCCCCCGTACTTGGATGAGAAATGGCTCAGCCGTGGTTCAGGCACTGGTAATCTTTAAAATGCACTCTTGTAACACTCTAAATAGGGCTGCCCTTTATGTTGGTACTGAAACTCCAGCAGGTTCAAAATGTGGTTGCCAGTCCAATTACAGGTACCAGTAGATAAGAACACACATCGTTTATTTATTTGATTTATACCCCGCCTATGAACACACATCACATCTTGGGATGCCCTCATTGGCTCCCTGTTAGTTTCTATTCCCCATGTGAGGTGCAGGATAATGACCTAGAAAATCCTTAATGGTTTAGGACCTCAATATTTGTCGAATATCTCTCCTGCAAAATAGCTACCTGTCCCACATGCTCCTTGCAGTCCTTATGCTAAAAATCATAACACCAAAGAAAGCCAATAGAACTAATGCCAAGAACTTTCTTGGTTGTGAGGCCTTTCCTCTGGAATAGTTTCTACAAATGTTCATCCCTCTCAGTTTTTAGGAAGTTGATTAAAACCAAACTGTATAAAGCTGCTTTCTACTAGTATTTTACTAATTGACCTGAGAGGTTCAAATTTGCTTTAAATTTATTTAAATGCAGGTTTTATTGATTCAGCTAGAGATAACGTTTTTATTGCCTTTTCCAGTTTGTATGACTGTAATTATGTTTGGATGCAGTGGTATAGAAGTAAAAGGAAGAAAAAGAGAGGAAGGAAGGAAGTAAAGTGATAGGGCTCCCTCTACTGTCAGGTTACAGGTAGTAACTGTTAGAATTTTTGAAGGCATTCTGAGTTCTGCGGCAGGGGGCAAAAGAAGAATGAGATCAATGCAATCAGAGGCAGTATGAAAGTTTTTGTTTAATTACTGTCCCAAGTAGATTCACTGATTCATAACACACTGGACAACATAAAACACTCTTCAGAGCAACAACCCAATTCTAAGGTCCACAAAACATGATCTACGATACTGAGGGGCTATATTATGCTAAGGCAGGGGTCGTCAACCCCCGGTCCGTGGGCTTACCGGAACTGGGCTGTGGAGACAAGTCTCCACCCCCCGCCCCCCCGGAGGGGCGTGTTGCTCTTGCTGAGGGGTGTGTTGCCGTCCTAACGGTTCCCCCAGCGCTCCTTCCCTGCAGGGAAACTGTTGTGGGCAGACCGCCTGGGAAGCACCAACAGCCGGTGACCGTGCTCGCCGCCACCCCACCCAGGGCGAGTGGCCGATCCTGCTGCTTCCTGCCCGGCCGTGGCCTCCTCTTCCCGGGTGGGAAAGGTGGGCTGGGCCGGGCTGCATGGGGCACTGCTCCTCCTCTGTGGAAGAGGTTCCAGGAGGGTGGCTTCCCCTCCGCCACCGCCGCCGAGTAGGGCTCGCCTTCTGGGGCCTCCCATCGGAGCCTTGTTCCTGCCCTTGCAGCAGCAGCTCCATTGCTTCTGGCAGCCCTGCCCAGGAGCCCTCGTCTCGACTTTTTCTCGCAGCAGAAGCATCCCCCACTGCCAGAGCCCCGCTTCCCTCACCGATGGAAAGTGCTCAGCAGGGAAGAAGGGTTATCTGTCCATTGGTGAGGGAAGCGGGGCTCTGGCAGTGGGAGATGCTTCTGCTGCCAGAGAAAGAGGAGGCCAGGGCTGCCAGGCACGGAGCCAGCGCTGCAAGGGTGGAAATGAGGCCCCACTTCCCTCGCGGACAGACCTGTTGTTCTTTCCAACCGGACCTCGCTCCCGCCCTTGCAGCGCCTGCTTCATCGCTCATGGCGGCCCTGCCTGGCAGCCTTCGCCTCCTCTCTCTAGCAGCAGGAGCATCCCCACTGCCAGAGCTCTGCTTCCCTCACCCGATGGATAGTGTGCAGCCGCCCAGGCTGCGTCTTGGAGATAAGGCCGGTGCGTCTCCCTCCCTCTCTGCTGAGCACTTACAATTGGTGAGGCAAGCGGGGCTCTGGTGGCAGGGGATGCTTCCCCTGCAGGAGGAGGAGGAGGCAAGGGCTCCCAGGCAGGGCTGCCAGGAGCGAAGGAGCCGCTGCTGCAAGGGCAGGAGCGAGGCTCCAATGGGAGGTCCCAGAAGGCGAGCCCCACTCGGGGGCGGCGGCGGAGGGGAAGCCACCCTCCTGGAACCTCTTCCACAGAGCAGTAGTGCCCCATGCTGCCCGGCCCAGCCCACCTTTCCCACCCGGGAAGAGGCGGCCACAGCCAGGCAGGAAGCAGCAGGATTGGCCGTTCGCCCTGGGTGGGGTGGCGCTAAGCACAGTGACCGTCCGTTGGCACTTCCTGGGTGGGCTGCCTGCAACAGTTTTCCTGCAGGGAAGGAGCGCTGCTCTCCTGTGAGGTGTGCTGGGGGAACGGTAGCAGGAGTGGGATACACCCACCCGTGAGCACGGGGGTGCCCCACCTGTGAACTGGTCCACGCATGGCGCTTGCCCCCCCAATGGTCCGCAGACCGGAAAAGGTTGAGGACCACTGTGCTAAGGGAAGTAACTAATGTTCTTTGCAACTACTTAGATTTTCTGTGCGCCAACTCTAGGAATGCCTTAAGACAAAATATACTGAATTTCATACCTAAATACACCCAATACTTTAAAGATTTGACCTGTGTCTTGGTCCTTTTAGCAAGCTACATGAGCAGCTGAAATCAACTTCTCCAGTTCTGAGCCTCACAATAAATCACTACTCATGGAAGCCATTGACACTAAATCCTGTGGTTTCATTTTCAAGTCAATGCAAAACCAAAAGACAGATGCTTAATTAATCTGAATAACTCATGTATGATCAGTTGCCCTATTTTTCAAGTTTAGCCTTATGTACAACTTCTTAAACACACAGGTTTATTTTTCGCTCACCCACTGAAAGGAAGATTTTGTGCACAACTGATGCCTGTTTCACAGTTTATCTTTCATAGTTTAGAACACTTCCCTTTCTGTTGTTGGTTTTTAAAAAACTATTAGAACTGTATCATGCTGTTACACTGGACTTCTATCCAGGCAACTGGGGAATCCTAGAAAGTGTTAGGGCTGAGCAATATCAGGCGAGCCCAGAAGAGTACTGGGGCTTGATTACAACTTCCCTAGAACAAAACATGTAGTCTGCAGAAATTATATTAGAACCCTCGACTTAGATAAAACCAATCAATAACATTTCTCTTCTGCTGTCATAATCACATGGGACGTTATCATGATAATATGGCTGATTAAAAGCATTGGAATAAGATCCTCAGAAAGGACAGGGGTTGCTGGTATAATTATAGGAACACATTCTAGATCAACACTAGCCTAAAATTTTTGGAAAAGATTTACAGCTATCCAAATGCAAAATTCTGCATTTTTCATTAGAACTGTTTAAAGCAGCCGATGGAAATCTCTATCTGTCAGGGAATGGCTCTGGTACTGACAATCCAAAGTGGTCAACGTTTGGCCCCCTCAACCATATTTACCCAGCATTAATTTCTATGACACCCTTGAAGTATCCCCAAAGTTCCCTTGCCACTTGCACAATCCAGTGGTGATAAAAGTAGCACTTTCTCTTCAAAAGGATCACTTTTCAATTTTCATGATGCATTTGTTAGATTCTCATGCACCTTACTTACAAGTGGAACTACACTTCCAGGAACACAAATTTACCAGCAAAGAATAAATTGGCAGTGGTAGCACAGCCCCATTTTGGACTCTTTGATGGGCCCTGGACCCATGGACATTGTCTCTCTCTTCCCTTGACTGCCAATTGCAGAAATACAAACGGAGAATATTTGAGGGAGAAAAACAAAATTGTGCTGCTTTGAAAAGATGGAAGGCTGAGTCAACCTTGAGCTGGTTACCTAGGATTGAACCCCAGGTTGTGGGCAGAGTTTTACTGCAGTACAGCAGTTTAGCCACTGTGCTATGAGGCTCTACATCAGGCAATGTTAGCAGCAACCAAAATACCACATAAATTCCATTTTTCACATTTGACAGAATTCTTTATCAGGTTAGGTGGTATAAAAATCTAAGGGATGGGGAAAGTAAAAAAAAAAAGGCCACTTGTTGAAGTCATGAGTAGGGGGAAGATTTCTAGGACATGCCATATCTTTTTCTGCAACCAATGTTTCACCTTATGGGTAGGTTTGACCATGTTTATGAGTAATCTGGTGAGTAACAGCAAAGGTCTCCATACAAATAGATATATTTGAACCAGTTTATGGGTTTAAATGTAGGTTTCAGAGAAAATGTGAAATGTCATAGAAATCCTACCCCTAGTCATGTTTTAGGACTTCAGACAGGTTTTTCACCACAGAGTCTGGAGCTGGCACATAGCAAGACTACAGAGAAACATGAGAACCCTTACAAAAGCTTCGTAAGATCAAATATTTCAAACTTTTCTCCTGCTGCCTTCAGGCATCAACAGCCACATACTGACTGAGAAAAGGGATAAACAACGGTCTTCAGAAGATAAGTTGAAATCAACAGGAAAGGGGCATTAACTTAAGATAAAACATGTATCAAATGAATAATATAGGGAATAAGCTAAGATCCAAAGAAGATATGACCATTTTTTAACCATGTTTAAAGATCTGGAATAGACCTCCTCCTCTTGCAGCAATTTTCTAAGACAGTAGAACAACAACAAAAAAATCACCGACCAAGCAATCTTAGCTAGATTACGACAGCAAATGTAAGTTACTGTTAACAAAAGTGAAGACACAAAACCAAGGCAAAGCGCGGCAAGATCAACCATGTAGCCTATTCCTCAGTACTTGGTCCTAGCTCCAAAGCTTACTCTTGAACAGGGCGTGGCAAAATAAAACGCTGATTACATTTTAAAGAATTTAAATCATTTTATTGCTTTACCTGCCATTAGGACAATCTATAACAAAAGGAATATATTAGCACATACAGTAAGTCAGACTAATAGTCCAGTAACGATACAAAAATGGTCCTCTGGTTTACTATAGCATTCTAGGGCAGTAGATTGTTTGTTTTAATTTGCTAAGGTGACCTAGCAAAAAAAGATTACTTCCAAAGCCCTGAATGTTAGCTAAAGCAAACTATACCAACTGTGGATTCAAACATGTTTAAATTGCACACAAAGGTAAAGCTTTAACTGTGATTAATATTTAACTCAGACATAGCTGGTTCATCTTAAAATTTTGTTGATAAAACTACAAAAGGGAGTAAACAGCAAGCTAAAAAGACGCAGTAGTGAAACTTGATTAGAAAGCCTTATATAAAAAAATGTGCATTTTTGTGGCGCTGCAACTAGCTTACATAAGATTTAAAATATTTTTGGTGCTTCAACAAGGATCAAATCAAGCTTCAAAAGTAACAAAGGTGTAAGGGGGAAAAATCCCTGGATAGATTCAAACTGAATAGAAGTTTAGAAGGAAAAAACAGCACTGATGACCCCTGAAAAGGTAGATATCCTCACCTCACCTAGGTCTCAAAGAACAAACAAAAGGAATTCACAATGTATATGTTACATTTAATCTGTTATCTAGAAATATGGGCACATTGATAGCTCCCTAAAGCTTTTTTATACTAAGGCTCCTATTCTTCAAAATTAAAATATGATTAGCAAACATTTTCCCAACATGTCAGAAAGGGTGTATACCAGGTCCAATTGTCAGGTGGTGGAGGAAGTCTGGGCCAAGTGGGATTCATAAGTAGTAGTTGCATAAAAAAATGCAAAAAACTTGCTGTCACTCCCAAACAAAACCTATACTAGTTTTAAATAATTATTATAATGAAACTGAGTTGCCTACATTATCCAACTGTGAAATTTCATAAAGCCGGTGGGCAGCACTGAGTGCACACTGAATATCATTAACACAAACCTGGTAAATACTGAAACACACCTCAGACTTGACAACGGGCTAGCTTTCCAAAAATAGCTATTCCATCAGATCAATATGGGACTCTAGGCCAAGAAAAGGAGGAGATTAGAATGTGTTGTTTACTCTAAGTATTTTATTTTATTTTAAGGCTAGAAGTTACAAAAACTTCTCCTGGGGCAGAAGAGATTCTTAGAAAGAAGAGTCTTTCACAAAACTGGACGCCAGCTTTCTCTTTCCTGTCTTTTTCTGCCACCTTCCTCCATGAGACTGTGTATTATATGCTGCTTTGAATTATCAGCTATGAAACAGAACCACTTTTCTCTGGTTCCAAAACTAAAAGGGAACGCAAAGTTGTGAAGAGCAGACCAAAGACTGGACACAGGGAGGGCACCCTTCACTGTCCTGCTCTATATACAGAGCATGGGGTGTTACATTTGGCATTAGCTAAGGAGCCATACAATTGTTATACCAGTGCAAGTATCAACACCAATATTCATAGCTGACTTTTGAGCATTTGCACAGGGGAAAAAAATAAGGAGGGGCAAATATGAATATTCACAACTAAGAACAGGCAGAAAGACTTGCCATGCCAAAGATCAGCAACACTGGCAGTGGCCGCCAGAACAAAAGCTTCTACACAAAAACCTGACAAACAATAACCAGGCCATCTTGAACCAACTGAAATGGAGACAGGCATACAAAACTATCAGCTTTCTAACTGGTTTCACTAAGAGCTGCTCTTAATAACCAAGTCAAAGATAACCCATATCCAGAACATTTATGCCAAGAAATTGAGCTAAGAAGGTATGTTTCTCCATCTAAGAGAAGCACAGTAGAAAGTTAATCACAACCTAAAAGACACATAGGATTCACCAGATGAAATATGTGTGCCTTGAAATGATTTCCTACTGTTGCATCCTTAACTCTATGGCAATAACCTTGGTGCTGGGAGATTTCCCCAGCAAAAGGAATGGCAGTCACTGACCAAGTTGGGCAGTGGACATTGCACAGAGAAAAGCAGTAACAGCAAAGGTCTCCATACAATTTTCTATTTATTTTAAATGGGGTTGGGAGCACCAAAATAATGCTCTAAAATTTAAAATGGTGCTATAAAAAGCAACTGGGTTCTCTTTTTTCCCTTTCCTCTCTCAGACAGACAGGAAGCTGCAATAGCCAGTGGCCATGTGGCTCTGCACAAGAGTAACGAAGCAGTCTGCGTTTGTGAAGCATGTATTGGAGAAGGAGGGAGACTTCAGACAGACAGAGAGACAAAGCTGTTGTACTGCTGGATGTTCCGCTTGAGAATATCTGAACACGGACCCAAAACTCGCTCAAATCGGGGCCTGTCAAGCTTCACACATTTCAGTGGGCCACGGGCAACAACGGTGGCAGCACGCGGACGATTCATCAACAGAGCTATTTCACCTAAAGGAACAAAACAGGAGATTTTTTTTTCTCAAGTGGATGAGATGATGAGATTTAAAAAATGAACAATGAGTGCGCAAAATAAAAACTAATACTGCAGTCCTCCAGTCCTTAGGACCGTACTGTAACATACTTTGAATCTACTTCTCCAATGGAAGGAGATTTACTTTGGAGGCACTCATTTGACTGATGGTGGAAAAACTCAGTCTTTGTTATAGCTCCAGTGGCAGTAAAGGCAACAAGTGGGCATTCTGGGGACATGTCACAGGCAGATTGGGGGAAGCGTTGGATCTGCTTGACCCCAGATATACTCTAGCAGTGGGACTAAACTATAGTAATACTAGAGTTGTTGTGATTTATTTTCTCTTCCATGGGAATGGGGCTGAGGGACTGCACTCCTACTTTGGGCGATAAAAGCACAATAGGACTCATAACATGTTTCCTCTTCCCCACACACTCTCCTAAGATTTCTAGGAGTAGTTCAGGATACCATGTAGTAAATTCTTGCATAAGAATGATGACAAGATTTGTTTTTTAAATCCAAGTTATTTGAATTGACCTAAGTCTTTGACATTTATAGAGCACTCAGACATCAAGGAAACTCACCAAAGTAATCAGATGGTGCAAGTCTGCCCACTTCAACAAATTCTTCATGTTCTGACCTGCGCTGTAACACAGCAGCTGTACCCTTTAAACAATAGATTGTTAAGTGAGTTAAGTCCACAAAAGCAACCATTTTGTAACAGATTTAGGAAACAAAGCAAAGCATGCTGTTTATATACCGCCCCATAGTGCTTAAAGCACTCTCTGGGAGGTTTAAAAGTTAATTATGCAGGCTACACATTGCCCCCTCAGTGAGCTCAGAAGGGTAGAAGGCAGCCTTGAACCAACTACCTGGGACTGAAGCAGGTCATGAACACATTTTGGCTGCAGTACAGCAGTTTAACCACTGTGCCACAAGGCTCTCTGTCTAAACAGAAGCAATCCTTGCAAACAACTTGGTTTAAGCTGTCCCTTTAGCTCAGAGGTTTACTCAAAGGGAATTTAGCAACATTGTATGTAATTTGAAAGCATACCTCACAAGTAAATCATTCATTCATTCATTCATTCATTCATTCATTCATTCACTCATTTTGCTGAATTTAGAACTGTTCTCTTTTTAAAACAACTCTGTTCTCAAACTTCTCAAATCTATATTGCAGAAAGAAATATTCAGGTTACTGCTGGTGCCAGTAGCTCGTATTTCACATTAGGTCAAAAGAACAAATGTTCATACAACCAGCATGTAAATACTATACATTTAAAGCAGTGGACTAACATTACGTGGAATATAGCACACTCCAAAGTTACAGAAACCAAATGACGAAAACAACTTAAAACAAGTATTAAGTATGCAATGTGAAAACAGCACTGGCACAGCTACTTACCTCTAGTATGATGAAGAACTCATCTCCTGGCTCTCCCTGCACCACAATTTTTTGTCCATCCTCAAATTGTACTGGCTCTAAAGCATCTGCCACTGTGAGACGTTCCCATTTGTCAAGCGATTCTAAATACAGAAAGTTGATACTTAGCACATCTCATTGTATTACAAAGGTTTAGAATTAGGTTACCTCTTCACCTCTCCTAGGATATAATGTTCCTGCCAACACCATCATTCAAACAGCAGCCAAATCTCTATACACTGTTCCACATTTCAGTTCAAATCACCCAAAGGATTGTTTCAAAGGACAATAGCCAAAAAGTGATTCAGGCTCTTTTGACAACACTGAATGGCCCGTTTTAGACAGCAGGTGATGATTAAGGTGAGGAACAGCCCCTTTTCACAGCAACACTTTTCAGGATCAACAAGAAGATCCTTCTTCATTGACTTGCACATAGATTTCATACTGCACTACAGAACATGTTCAGAACATGTGACAAAAAAAGACCTGACTGAATTTGTATACACCCAGGGAGTTGATGAAAAAGTTTGCAGAAATAAGGACAAAGGATTAGGCATGGCAGGGGACAAGACAGAAAACAGTGAATGTTTGTGCCTGATGAATCCAAGATAACAGAAGATCAAGTGAGAATTCCAGAGAACTCTCATAAGCCTGTAGAGAGGAGAGGCATCACAACACACACAAGCTCTTCAGACACAGCTGTTTTGTATCTGTAGCTCAAATCCTCTTATGCGACTAAACTGGCATAATACTAACAACAAACATTTGGAGGCAAATTGCCTCCCATGAAGCAATGCCTTGTAGATATTACCTATTGTGTATGTAACCATGTGATTTAGCCTGCAGTGATTTTAGAACTTGAGGCAATTCACTTCCAGAAGTTAGGCTATTAGCATGACACCAATGTAGCTGAGCAAGAGAATGTTGGGGGATGCCTAGGAAAGCCAACCACCACTCAACAATGAAAAAGACACTAAAACAGCACTTTAGCTCAATTAAGTCCTGTTGCTAGAGCCTATTGGGTAGGGGGGAAGTTAATTGGAAATATATTGATAAGAAACTGCAGAGTGTAAATCAGGCCTAGAAATGGTGGAAAGGAATAAAGAAGACATACACAAGAGGTGAAAATACAAAAAGGAATTATGGGAGCATAAAAAAGAAACTATGAGGAAAGGACTTGAAAGGCAGTGACCCACTTCTATATAGAAGAATACGCATGAGAATATATGCCTGATTTTGATTTTTCTCCCCAACCTGTGGCAATCACCGGATTAAATCATCAATTGTAACTAGGTCCCTGGATTTTTGACCTGTTTGGGGCAAAATACACACATGTAGCATCAATAAAATCTAGAAGGGAAACTGCACCATAGCAAGAACACCACAATATTTATTGATTCTTGTGATTCACAGGACAGCGACAATCAGGCATTTAATAGAACTACTGGCAAAGTATTCACTCACCCAATATTGATACTTTGCTAAGAAATTCTTCATACATTTTTCTCTTTCTCAATGTACTACCCTGGGGGGAAACACAAACACATATAGAAATTACTCCCTGTTTAGTATTTTATACTACCTTGAAGTAGTCTGAAGAATTCCTAGGTAAATTCAACCAGATCCACTTTTGCCTTCCTTTGTTTAGGGATGCAGTAAAACCTGTTCTATTCTATCTGTGTTTTGATTAATTTTAATGTTATCCCTTTGGTCTAGTTTTCAAGTTGTCTCCATTCCTTTCCTCTAGTTTTCAAGTTGTCTCGGGGGGGGGGGCGTCTAGTTACAAATTGTTCATAAAGTTATTTTCACTTTACATCTTGAGAGTCCAAGTGAACAGGAAGATGATTTATTTTAATGTCACAGAAATGTTAAGCCTACCTGTTACTGAAACCCAGTATTAAACAGTTAAAGGTAGTTAAATAGTTAAAAGTAAAGTAAACCTATTTGAATAAACAGAACTTACACAGGACTCATCAAAACACCACTGGTTCAATGACGCTACTCTAATTATGACTTATTGCCTTTGTCTATTCCAACATCTTACAAAGGTTAAGTTCAGCTCTATTGCCAAGCACGCAATACGGAATGTATGTTGCATGTGAACAGTAACAGTTCTATTGATCTCAGTCCCATCCAGAGGTGATAGGACTCAATTCAGAGATTTTTATCCATGCCTTCTCCTGAAATTTATACTAGCAAAACACAGCGTTACAAATTGTTCATTTTATTCAAGACCAAGGATTAAATCGCCTGGAAAAAGCTATTTACAACTAAGGACTGTTTTTTAAACTTAGGTTGAGAGCAGCTGTTTAACTGAGTACATTGTTCTTTCTTAAGCTCCTTCATCAAAAAAGTAAATTAAAAATAGTTTTAAAAATGTAAATCCTGTTATATGTATATAACGAAGCTTGCAGAAAGTATACAACTGTGGACTCCCAAAATGCTTTTTGATTGCACCTTGTCCTCAACCCAATCAACACTGCTAGAAGCAACCAGAAATGCTAATCAGCTTCAAAACAAATTACATGCTTTCTCTGGGCCTCATTTTAAATCAAATCTGTACAGCTTAAAGTTGTATTTTGTTTATTTGCTGCATCACCATATTTCAGCAGTACAGATCCTGCTAGAACGAAGAAATCAATGCTATCCACCCTAAAACCAGAAGTTGTCTTATTCATGATATAAACAAAACTCTTTTTTCAGATTACTCCTTAGAAGTTGCTTGGAGGTTTCACATTCTAGTTTCCATTCTAAAATCTTCTGCTTAGGAATGTGCAGTATGGACCCTATTGGCTACATCAGGCTGGCACACAAACCTTGTAATCTACAGGCACCCCCCTCCTGCAGAACTGGTGGTGGCAACTGTAAGAACTTTCTGCCTTCCCATCACTTTAGAGAGGGAAGGTGACACTTTGTTCTGTAGCCTCATAGACCTTACTCCCCTGAACCATAGAAACCTGCCACCAAATTCTATTAAGGGAGCAAATTCAGTGGTAAGCAATGCTTTTCAATAGCAGGTACAAAACTAACTGTTGGTGAGCAAAATTGGTGAACAATTTTTCCCTCGGGGCACAACAACCAAAATTAAACTTTTAAAGCAACATGCAAGTTTCTACCGGTGAAATCAGTAGGACGCGTTTCATCACATTGGATCACACCCTTATTGTATTTATTTTATACTTTTCCTGTTTGCTTCAGATGACTGACAAGAAATAATGACAAGGTCACGCAATGCCTCTCAGAACTCCTTTTGAAAACATGTCAACACTTACCATAAGGATTCTTCTATAGCTGTCTCTATCAATACCCCACAGTTTCACATTAGTTTTTGCTTTGACTGTTGCTGCCCGTGGTGTGCCATAGATGAGTGCAAGTTCTCCAAAGCTGCCCCCTTCACCAACACTAGTGGCCCACTCACTGTTTACATATACCTAAGGAATCAAGACACACCGCTGAAAGTAGGCAGACATTGCCACAAACATATTTAGATCTTGGTCTGGTCTGTTTCATTTCAAAATATACAGGACACACTCTGGATAATACCCTAATATTCTCTCACAATAACAGTTTTCCACACATAAAATGCCATTATATTTTTATTTTGGATTAAATCGATTTTAGTGACCGTTTGCATTGCTTTTGCATAATGCTAAAGGCATTATTTAACAGGACACAACACTTGGCCTATCAACCATTACTCATCTGATTCAACATTTTAAGACTGCAGTCCTACATCCACATATGTAGTATTCCTATGTAACTCAACAGCATTTGTTTTTAGAAAATATATTTAGGATGTTAGCAGTGTTTCTCAACCTGATCCCCCTCCCAAAAAAAGACATTTTGGGCTGAAAATCAACAATAACTCTCATCACTGGCTATGTTAACTAGTGGAACTGCAGTCCAAATGTCGGGGAAGAATAAAGATCTGATTAATCAGAACTCCAGAGCTGGAAGAGATGGTGAACTACAGTGAAAATGTATTCTTGAAGGCTTTACATTACAGTGTTAATGTTTGGTTGCTCCTGCATAACTTCGTCCCAGTAAAACAACCTATATATCCTAAAAGCATTTGAGAACAGTGAAATAATCTAATGTGGAGGGAGGGGACTTACATCCATTTCTCCTTGATCGACAACATAGAAATTATCCCCTTCATCACCTAAAAATGGAAAGAACAAATTTGAGAAATGATTACTGCAAGAATGGACAACTCTGGCCCACACTATATTAGCTACTGGACTCCAACTTTCTTGCCCCCCTGGACTATGGGGTTATTCAGACATAGGACATGTTCCTTTAAAAGTATCAGGTTCTGAAATGATTTTATTGGTTTTGGTCTCATCATCCACATGACATTAAGACTTTCACCACATTTTTCCTCTTTTCAACATTGTTTACTTTGGCCTTTGGTTGTTCCCCACACCCACCCAAAGGAGGAGGTATGTAGTGCTATGGAACTTCTTGCTAGAAGTTCACATCTGCTATCAGGGCCACCTGGCTGGAAGCTTTCAAAAGAGCATGTCAGTTAGCACACAACCCCTGTTGCAAAACTCCTGAAGAGAAGCTCCCACAGGAAAATCTTTCTTGAAATTTTTAAAGGAATTCTAAGATTTCCTAAAGAAAGACAGGTTTCTAATAAATAGCTTTTTAAAGGAAAGTTTGTATACAAATGCTAGTAATGTCCACATTGATTCACAACCAAGCAAGAGAAACAGAGTGGAATTTTTATCCCATCTGGAAAAGCCCTTGGCCAGAAACTTCTAGAGTGCTGCAGCTGATCACTCTTATTGGCTTAAGCAAGCATCAGAACTATGCATCTCTCCTCTCTCTCTCTCTCTCTCTCTCTCTCTCTCTCTTGCATACACACACACACACACAGACAGACACAAATTCTGTATTGGTTTGTAACATTTACACTTCCCTTTAGATTCATGCAAGTTGAAATTGCCATGTCATCCTGAAGTATCACTGAAAGATGGAGACTATTTCATCACACCTACACCAGGAATGGTGAGAAGTAACTATTTCATGCTAACTGATCTTTTCAGCATGCCATTGCTGAAACAGCTCATGTTGTCATGCAGTTTCTACCCAGCCTCAAATTTAGTAAAGGAACACACTGCAGCAGCTACACTGAAAGAAACTTCAGTCAAACACTGCCTTGCTGAGATTTAGTCCAATGCATCTGGAAGAAACCTTACGCTTTGATAAACAGTAAGCAAATGATCCCAATCCCAAAGAAGGGCAGTGCAAAGAATGCTCCAACTACCTTACAATTGCACTCATTTCACATGCTAGCAAGATAATGTTCAAAATCCTCCAAGGTAAGCTTCAGCAGTATGTGGACCGAGAACTCCCAGAAGTACAAGCTGGATTTCGAAGGGGCAGAGGAACTCAAGACCAAATTGCTAACATGCGCTGGATTATGGAGGAAGCCAGAGAGTTCCACAAAAACATCTACTTCTGCTTCATTGACTACGCAAAAGCCTTTGACTGTGTGGACCACAACAAAATATGGCAAGTTCTTAAAGAAACAGGAATGCCTGATTGCCTTATC